CTCAGTGTGGAGTAACTCAGTATGGAGTAACTCAGTGTGGAGTAACTCAGTATAGAGTAACTCACTGGAGTATCTTAGTATGGATTAACTCAGTGTGGAGTAACTCAGTATGGAGTAACTCAGTGTGGAGTAACTCAGTATAGAGTAACTCACTGGAGTATCTTAGTATGGATTAACTCAGTGTGGAGTAACTCAGTATGGATTAACTCAGTGTGGAGTAACTCAGTATGGATTAACTCAGTGTGGAGTAACTCAGTATGGAGTAACTCACTGGAGTATCTCAGTATGGAGTATCTCAGTATGGATTAACTCAATGTGGATTAACTCAGTATGGAGTATCTTAGCACGGAGTACCTTAGTATGGGGTACATTAGTATGCAGTATCCCATTGCATTATTACGTGCAGTTCTGATGAAGAAAAAGCCTGAGATTACAGCACAGACGTAGTTTGGTAGAGATTTGATCAGATACACACTCAGAGACTGTATTTGATCACGTCTCTGAGCTCAGTACATCGACTTCCCCTGTTACTCATTCGACCAATCGTCTCTTATCCTGTCAGCTCCTCTGTCCTGACTGCAGCTGAGAGAAAGAAACGTGACAATGAGGCATTTGTGTAAAAATACTCTACTATTTTAAAACCTGGCTATAATTAGTTTGGTCCTGTTCACACCAGAGAAGGCGTTTGTTCTTGGTCCAAAGTGTTTTCATCATCTACTCTACTAGAACTGTGGGTGTTGTCTTCAAAGGTATGGCTTGAAGACAAAAGGCTTGAATTGTATTCCTCTTTACCTATTCTTTATTTAACGAATGCTTTTTGTTTCGACCGTTAAGAGAAACAAATCGTTGTTGATTGTTTTTATTCCAGACTGAGTTTTTCTTTTTATTCCCATCAAAAGTACGTAGATCTTCTCTGCTGCAGCTGTCATGCTGAATCACAATGTCACTTTTCATCTTTATATTTTTACCACAGTTTTCAGGGATGAGTTACTTTACAGCTACAGAATTGAATTAAAAAAACAAAAAACAAAAACAAACTTTGTTCATCAAAATTATAAAAATGTTTTTCTATATATTTTTTTAAATTTTATTTCAGTCTAAACTCTTCTGCAGAGACTGTTTCCTGTCTGGTAGAATTCGGAGGGATGGGTTTGACTCCAGGTCACGACCTGCTTCTTTTGCTTCATCTCAAGATTGAAATTGACTATAATTGAACAGGTTGACATTCAAGTTTTGTTCTCAAATTTGATATGTGCTCGGCACCCGTCAAAGCTTTTTGAGACGCCGGAGAGACGTGTCTTAGCACGGTCTGGTTATTGAATAAGGATTTGTCTTAGTTTGATCTTTGAAGGCAGCTCGATGAAAGCGTTCTTTTGTTCTCAACGTTAAACTCTTTATGGATTGGACATCGATTTGAAAAGGTCGCATGGTAAAAGTTCAGATTGGATTATCAGTTTCCATGACCCCTAAATCCTGCAGACAAATTCTGGGTGGGTCTAACTTCTCAGAGCAGCGGGACTGGACATGTGAGAGGAAACATTTGAAATAGTTGCCTTGTGTTGAAAAAAGACTGACAGCAGCAACGTCACTGAGAGTCATGTGTTGAGAAAGTTTGTAATAGCCGTGCCGACCTTTCCAAAGTCGGGTCGTCACCTTTGGCCTCTCACTGCGGTGTCTGTGCACACCGGTGCATGAGGTGAATGTCAGTTTGAGTTGTAAATAAAAATGGTCACATTTGATCAATTAATGTCACAAAGACAAGTGAAGGTCAGACTTTTTTTATCACCTCTCACTCAAACAAACAAACCAAAAATATATATATCGTTTTTTTTACTTTTTTGCTTTTGAGTTTCCATGGAGCTGCCTCCGTCATCGTGCTGCAGCAGAGGGACCGTCATCAATTTACCTCACCTTTTCATTGGGTTTCTCTCTGACCTTTTTCTGCCTCTGGGTCGGCACATTCCACATTCAGCTCCCACACACTCACCCACTCATTCACCTGAACGCGTTCGCTCTGTTGTTTGACTGTAAAATGTCTGCGTCTGTGGGAACATGCAGACTTGTCCTCACAGAGTGGCAGTCTCAACCCCCCCCCGCCCCCCGCCTCCACCCTTTGTTTCTTTTTTAACACACAGTGATTATTAGCCAATTCACAGCAAAACCTAAATCCTGAATTGTTATACTTTTCTTTAACGGTTGCAAGAGGAACTGGCACTAAACCGGTCCAACCACAGTAGTAGAGAAACTTGCCAACGTTGAAACTAAAAGATATATCTTGAAATGTAGTTAACTTTGGACATGTCAGTCTTCACTCAACGTCTCTGTCTCTGTCTTTGTGCATGCGTGTGTGTCAGCTCCAGGCTGCCCTGTGTCTCCTGCTGCAGCCTCCAGCAGCAGGGGCAGGGCTGCGTAACTGTTTGCTGTGTGACCACTCAGGTCAGAGCAGGTCTCTGCTCGGGAACACAGTAAACAGCTGCTGGACACCACAGTCAATCACTGAGAGACGGAGAAATCAGCTGTTTGACAAACGTCCATTTTCCATCAGATGCAGAAGAGTGAGTTGTGCAGAAGACATTTCCCTAAATCTGGGTGTTGTGTTTAAAATGAACCCATTAAAGATGAACATTTTGTCTTATTATTATTATCATCAAATATTTGTTCAACCTTTATGTGCTGTTTTATTTATTTATTGATAGTTATTAATCATTTTAAAAACAAGTATTACTACTAAACGTTTACTCGTTCTCTTGTAGCATTCACAGTCGAGCAAAAAACATTTATATAAAAAAACAAAGACATAATCTGTATAAAGTATAATTGTTGACATCAATTTATATGGATATATATATAAAGCTTTGATTTAAAAAATTGACCACGATAGACTGGGAATTTATATGACGGAGATGAAGTGAAATGAATATCAACAGCTGATCAACATCTTCCACAAAGTTCTGTTTGTAGACCAAGAATTAAATACAGTCCAAGAAACTTTTTATATTAGTTATTGATTACAGGGTCATCGATGACATCGAAGAGGTTCTTTTTTTTTCTGTTAGACGGCGAATTCTCAGAATGAGATTATGATTCAACTGATGGGTTTTTTTTTAATTTTGTGATTTCCTTTTTTTTGTAGACGGCGAATTCTCAGAATGAGATTAGGATTCAACTGATGGGTTTTTTTTTTTGTGAATTATCACTGACTTCATTGCCTTTCCTTTTCCTTTTTTTTTTGAAACAACATGATGATCTTCAGTCTGGCGCAGCAGTGTGGAAATTTACTTTTGCCAAAATGTAGGACTCTTATATAACCACCTGCACATGCCAACTCTAACTCCACACACACACACACACACACAACTCCTCTTGGTTGGCCATTAACAACCCTCAGATCAACTTACCGTCAATCTCATCCTGGGATTTCAGGTTCCGTCTGGTGCGTTTCCTAAAGAAGTTGGAAGCGTCGGCCTCCTTCATGAAGACCCTCCTGAGTGGACCTGCGGTGGGAGCAGGAGGAGGTTCAGTCACTTCACAACATACAGGCGTGTTGTAATGCTGTACAGCTGTGGCGTTTCAGCAGATGCAGCAAGTCACCTTCAGCGTTGCTTTTCCTGCCGGCCACTGCTGCAGACTCGGCCTCTGGAGACACTAGGTCAGAGAGCACAAAAACACGGAGAAATGAGCAGCTATCGTTAATAGTTAGCAAGTCTAGTTAGAGTGGAATCTTCTGCATCAAACTCACAGGAGAGCACGAAGAGCAGGCTGAGGACGGCCAGGAGGCTCACAGGTGTGCAGGACATCTTCAGCTCTGGGTCCGAGTTGTTGAGATACCAACTGTGAATCAAACCATGAGGCAGCAGAGGGGTGAGGGAGATGTACAGTAGGTGAGAGGTGGGATGGGAGCTGGGAGGAAGATGGAGTGTCTGACAGAGAAGGGAGGGAGGGAGGGAGGGAGTGGACACGTCCGGTAAGCACGAGACGTTCAATTTCAGGTAATAATCACGTTCTGCTCCTTTGACAACGTGGTGTACAGGCCTCTGAAAGAATAGCGTGAAGGTTTATTTTCATTAGTCTAAGAAATGTGTAGCGATATAAATCAGTATAGGAGATGTAAATACACATACTGACCATGAAATACATTTCAAATCAGTCTATCTCTCCCACTTTGGTAGAAATAAAAAAGACTGCTTTTGACAGCATCAAAATCTTTGGGGTTTTCATCATCAGAGCAGATATCGATGATCTTTGGGGTTTTCATCATCAGAACAGGTATCAGTACCATATCCCAAGAGCTGAGCTGGACCTCGGGTATTTAAAAAAACAAAAAGAAAATATCATCACAAATGTCCTTCCCTAGAAAAATAATTAACCCCCCCCTGGGATTCAGACTAAACATGACCTTTTGACTGACCAATATGTAACGGCAAATGCAACACAGAGCAAAATATTGATATTTCTGGCAAAACACATACTAAACCAGCGCCCTGAGCCAAAGTTAGATCTCAGTGCCAAATGTCTTGTTTGTAGATGCAGCTGAAATGGGCACCTCAACAAGGCTTGGGTTTCTGCTCTCAGTAAAGTTTTGCCGGAAAGTCTGCCGCCGTTTGTTTGCTCAGGTTTTCTGCCCGTGAATTCTGGCTGTCGCCCAGAAAGGAGTGAATGTTGAAATTGTTTTCTGAAGCAGAGTTGGAGAGTTTTTTTTTTTTACTCCCTCTTAAAATGGTTACAGTGAGTTATGTCACATTTAATGGAAATTGAAGTTGAATATCAGGCACAGTGGTGGGAAAACAAGACAACAATTATATGAGCTTTCCCACATGAATTTCTCATTAAAATTGATGTCATATCTGGAGTGTATTAATCTCATAATGTAGGATTAAACTAAATTATTAACTTCCCCTGCAGCTATAAATTATAATGTACCTTAATT